GAGGTCATCGCCTGGCGTCGCATGATGCATAAGAAGGTGGCGACCGTGAAACGCTAACTGTAAGACATTTACAGTAAAGCCTCCTGAGGTAGTATAGTTACTACCTTCTGCAGGTGGACTATTATGGTCAAGCAACAACTGATTTTCAACAGCGTCAAGTTGATACGCAATCGTAAGGAATTGGGATGCACTATAACGTTGACGCTGATAAGCCTGTAGGCAGACATTTGTGGCTGTCAAACCACAAGAATTTGGTAGGTCTGCCCGCAGATCTGCTCAAAGGGGAAGGAGAAGGGGGAGGGGGAGGCGGAGGGGGAGAAGAAGGGGGAATGGGAGMAGGAGAAGGGGAGGAAAGGGGAGGAGAGGGTGGAAGAGGATGGTGCACGGACCAGCGGAGCATACGTCGAAACCATTGTGTAAGGCGAGTTACATGWATTGGATGTCGACGCTGGCGAGCTCGAATGTAACAAGTCCATCCACGGGCCAGTGTTGACGGAGCATGACCACGCGAGAGCAAACGGCGGACAAGCATAGTTGCTGCCGTTTTGAAATCACGCCAATTGTCACAGATCTGCTCAAACCGCGTAAGCTGGCCRGTGAACACACCTGCAGGCTGATGAGATGGAATGTTCGACGTTGCACTAGGATATCGTATAACAGGAAAATCCCATGCAATGGTCTTATCAAACACACTCAATCTGAGAGATCCGCCTGCTCGTGTCTGCAGTTTCGCACCTAAGAAGGTGCACGAGCCATCTGCCGCAGTGGTCTCCTTATATATATATCTATATATATATATCTATATCTATCTATCTATCTATCTATCTATCTATCTATCTAGTCAAACAGAGCTGCCCAGTAAACCCTAGGCAGAGAGGGAGAAGAGGACAACAAAGGATATATATATGCATACATATACATACATGTATGTGTATACATATGAAATAGTGTATGTATACGTGTATATATCGTCATAGAGAACTGCCCTGAGAATCGTAGGCTACATGTAGATGTCACTATGATATGTATGTATCCCGTAGTATTACTATGATATCGTTCATATGTATATATAACCAACAGGCCTATCTCAGTTGGTATATCCATGAACTATTGGAATACGAACCGAACGTCACCGAAGTTTGGATCCAGATTAAATCAGATGAAGAGAAGACAATAACTAGAAAAAGAAAGCACATGATAAGTCGATGAACCTTCGATGAAACCTTCGATGAAACTTCGATGAAACAGTTTGTCACAGCCCCTCGGTTGTTACCCTCTTCTCACTCTCTGCCTACCATTTACTGGGCAGTTCTGTTTGAGACGGTGCAGTGGTTGACATATCTGCCTATGGGTTACTTGGCAGTTCTGTTTGAGACGGCTGCAATAGATTGATGCAGTTTGTCACAGCCCCGTGGTTGTTGCCCTCGTCTCCCTCTCTGCCTATGGTTTACTGGGCAGTTCTGTTTAAGACAGCTGCAATAGAGTGATAATGGTGATGGCATAGATGATGAATTCCACAAACACTCGTCCTGAGATTGCTAACCTCACACTCTATTGGGATGAGGCGCAGTACGTGGACAACCTGCAGTGTGTGGATCCCTTTGCAGCTCGCGGATATGTTTTCACTTATCGGTTCATTGAGGATGTTCTTACCTTTGATTGTCTGCCACCATCGCCAGCCCATTATGGTCTTGAATGGAAGGAGACCACTGCGGCTGAGTCTATTATGTTCTAACCTTTGGATCTCTCCGATTGAGTGTGTTTGATAAGACTGTTGCATGGGATTTTCCTGTTATACGATATCTTAGCGCAATCTCGGACATTCCATCTCATCAGCTTTGTGATCACTGCCGGTGTTTGAGCGGATTTGTGACAATTGGCATGATTGCAAAACTGCGGCAGCCATGCTTGTCCGCCGTTTGCTTTCCCGTGGCCATGCTCCATCGACATCAGCCCGTGGATGGACTTGTTACATTCGTGCTCGCCAGCGTTGACACCTTATACATATAACTCGTCATACACAATGATTTCGACGTATGCTTCGCTGGTCCGTGCATCATCCTCTTCCACCTTCTCCTCCCCTTTCCTTCCCTTCTCCTTCTCCCTCCACCACTCCTCCTCCCCCTTCCTCTTTTCCATCTTCTCATCCTCCTCCCCCTCCCCCTCCTTGTCTATCTTCCCCTCCTCTCTCTTTCCCCCCCT